TATATATAAAATGTATTACTCATTAACCTTACATACTTTTATTTACTTATTTGCATTCCAAGTGATGCTGAAGCCCTAGTATTAGCAAACTACCACAAGTTCTTTAAAAGAGCCGTTCAGAACTGGCTTTCTCTTGCGTACGCAAAGGCTAAGCAGAGAATAGAGAAGGCAGTGGAGTTGGATCAGGTACTTACTAATATTACATGTAATTATTTGCATCTCCCTAAAGTCTAATTCTGTGTACTGCCAGGGGCCACTTAGCCCTGGGTACAGAGGCAAGTGTGGACACAATATAGTCTGTCTCTGTCTTCACTGTGACCTGTCATCAAAATTGGGTTCTTATTTCATATCTTAAATAAGCTATTGTTTAATATGCAACATACATTCATCATCATAATCATCATCCTCAAACCAACTGTATTTTTTTTTTTTTCTAAAATGATCCATTTGACTACAATGCCAAAATGTAAAGTATCTTCAAAAATATATATAAAGCATTTTCGCCAAATTTGAAATGAAAATTTCCGAGAACCTTGTAACTACCTCTAGGGAAACTTTCAGAGGCTTAGGCATTCGCTCTATGTATTATCTGTGCTCTGTAACCCGGTGCGCGACCCTGTAGTGTTTTTGGTTGTCAAAGTACTCAAAAGAAAATGTGTGTCTGGAAAAAATGAAATTTGCGCAGGCTAGGCTGCTGGAAGTTCCCCAGTGAAAAGTTGTGAGACGTTGGTGGCGCTGTTTCAAAATAGCCCAGATATCATGGTGTATACATAAATAAAGACATTTTGCAGTAAGAGACTAAATTGAATGTTCAGTAAGTTTTTGGTAGTAGGCCTACCTACTGTTCATGCGTGACATAATCAGAAATTAATCGTTATGTTCATCAGGTGAGGCAAGTAGATGCAATGGTTAAACACAGTTCATCTGCTGTGGATGTTGCTTGTTGTTTTGGTCAGGTAAGTATGTCAGGCATTTTGAATATAATGATGAAGATAATTTATGATAATGACAACAGCAGTGATAATGACAATGTTCATGATTGTATTCGTATTTAGGATACTTATTCAATATAAAAGTGTTTTTATCTCCTCCAAACTTCTAAAGTCTAAAAATAATTACAATGATGACAATAACGATGATGACAACTATGACGATCATAATTAAACAATAACATTAATAGTGGTGGTGGCGATGCTGCAATGAAAACAACGATGATGTGGTGATGATATTTTGGAGCATTGTGCTTGTTGCAGATAACTAATAAATATATAAATCTTCATGATATAATGAGTTTTTAGATAATTACACATATATTACACATTGTTGCTTTTACACCATACATAGACTTCTATTGTCATCTCATAATTTTTTACTAGATTCGCGAGTTCTATTCTAAACTAAACTGGCCGGATGTTGAGGAATCTTACGTATTTGTTACAAAGATTACAGATGTAAGTAATTGAAGAGATTATATTTCCATATTAAAATACATCATTTGTAACTTACTAATTTGTCAAAAGGTTGTTCACTTCTGTTTTACCCTCTGCTTCTCCTGTACGTGGTTGGACAATGTCATTTTATTTGGTTGAATCAACTTGTAAATATCTAGCTGTTTTTGTCATTTCAGGACATTTGCCAAGCGGCCATGTTTTATGCAGACATAATTCATCAAAAACTCATCTCCAAGGGTTACTATGATGAGGAAGGGCAGTTTGACGTTACTGACCAGGTGCTAAATTTTATATGTATATGTTGATTTATATAGCACCCTATAATAATGGACAGTTCTATTATTTTCAAGGGGTGTTATACTTTTTAAATAAACAATGGCAATACTGTAGTGGTGTACTGCTAGCATTAATATATTATTACTAATATATTATTACTTCCCCATGCAATCCTTCAAACAATACTGTAGTTGTTTTATCAAGGTATCTATTATAGTTCACCAACATCACTGTTGATTTTTTGTTTATGTTATTATCTTTCAATGGAAATTAGAAAAAAATTCAGTAATTGTATCTCCAATTAGATTTAATAATATAACCATTTGCATATTCTTTGTGTTGATTCCCATTATTTTCTTGAGGGTATGCTGCAGTTTTGCCCATCATACTCGAGCTGCTTATTGTTGGTATTCAGACACAGGGTAGGGGTATACGCTCTAGGAGTGACTACAATAGTTGATATATGTATGGGAATTATGATCATTTTAATTATCTTCAAATTGATTATAATAAGTTAATAATTTTGAATAAGTATTACCATGAATCAATTATTTGATAATCTTCAGCTCTGTATAGCCATCAACAACATTGAGCAAGTTCGGAGGTCACTGGGAGTGCTACCAAAATCGTTAAATTGGGATAAGTTATGGCTGTCAGTGACTAAGAAACAAGGCGAACAGTCAAGTGATCAGTGCAAGGCGTCCCTGGAAGCGATGCTTGCGAGTGCGGACGATGACATGATGAACATTATCGCAAGGGTTGCCGGGAGAGTCGGAGACAAGATGAGGCCAGATATAAAGAAGTTTGTCTTCCAGTTGGCATATACGCCAGTGAAACAGTCATTAGACGATGTAAGTTGTCCCACAATTATAACTAATTAACAATAAATTTTTAACTAATTAATAATTGCTTAGTGCTAAATAAAACTATGAAAAAAGAACTTGAGCTAAAGTTTAATTTTAACTGATTAGCAATTATTTTCTAATTGTAGATTAATTATTGAAAGACATACAAGATAAAGATATACAAGAATTCGTTCATTCCATATTCGATCAGATTGTATAATGGACGTTTTTCATGTTGTTATGTATGGCCTAATTGGATTTACTCTGAAATTTATTAATTTTAAATTTTAACTGGGGAATCTTTTATTCATTTAGTAATTTTAAAATTTTAACTGGAATCTTCATATTTTACATGTTACTGCCTTGATGTATTATGATAATGTTTTAAGTTGTATCTTGCTATTTTCTATGTGGAGTTTTAAGTATTTCACTAGCCATTTTAATGTATATTTTATCTATATGGAACTAATGTCTTTTATAAAGTTTTAATGACTTGATGTACTTACTGCTATCTCCATATTAGACAAATAGAATTGAATCTGAATCTGATATTAAATTAGTACTAATAATGAAAATTTACTTGGAGCCACAGCAAATGAATATAGTATATGAAGGCTTGGCAAAGCACTTGGTAACAAATCATGAGTTATTAATTGAATGACTGACTGATTGATTGGTTGAATGATTGATTATTTAATTGACTGATTAATTGGTCGATTGATTGATGGATTTTTCATATTTTCAGGCAATTACACCTCTGATGCTGTATTTGGACAAGAATCTTATCACACTTAATGAAGGATTATTGAGATCAAATTTTGATAGGTATCTTTTTTTTTATTATCTATATCTGATTTTTACTTGTACGTCATGCGACCACATCTGAATATGTGGCAAAGACAAGTCAAACCAGTCACTCATCGCAAATTGTGTTTCAGAGAAAATAGCAAAAACATGCTAGAATGTAAAATTTTTAAAAATTTATTTTATTTCGCTAAACTGAGGTTTATGTATCTATACATCATACTGTGCTGATATTTTTCCCAATTTCAATGTTAAAACAATACTTTTTAAAGATTTTATGATAGTTTCTGCATGAGAAATGCCTGAAATCATAAACTTTGAAGGCTGATTTCTCATATTGTTCTTTAAACAGCTGTATGTTTAAATGCTTGTAACTTCATAAGGAAATGTCGGATTTGAATGATTTTTTTTACCATTATATATCTCTTATTTTACTCTTTAAACCTGTATGAATAACTCAAAATCGATTTTTGCGACGAGTGACTGGTTTGGCTTGTCTTTGCCACATATTAAATGTAGAACCCCATTATGGACTATTAAGAAGTATGTGGCTGACAATCATACAATTTTTTCAAACTCTGGGACATATCTTCTTTAAAGGGAACAGGAAGGGAGGCTCTTTGCTCTCTTTTGAACCAACACATGCTGCAATTGTCATTTGAAATGTAACATCATTGTTTCTGTCTTCAGGATTCTAGAAACATTGTGGCAAGTGGTGTTGGATGAGATAAGGGAGCAGGTTATAGGTGAACATGAGGTGAGTCATGTGACTTTGATATATGTTTCTACAATATTTAGACCACATGAGGATAATGACATATGTAGTAGTATTGACATGTAGTTTTGTAACTCACTAGTAGTTTTTATTATCAATAATGTTATCATTACATATCTTTAATGCAAGAATCATCAAGGTCATACTAGTAATCTGAATGTTGTCTTATCTATGTGTCCGTGTGTATCCTTGTGTCTATATAAAGTTGCTTTGTGTCTGAAATCTAAACTACAATAGTAAAGCTAGGCACTCATTGCTCCATACCACTGTCGGCCGCCGAATGCAACTCAGCTCCCTGCGAGCGCTAGGTGACATGATGCTGTTTGCTTGTTGTCAACGGCAGTCTAAACAGATCGTGATTAAAAACAATATGTGGTGTGCATGTTGTGGTGTTGCGTCCGTCATATGATTGCGTCGACCGATGAAAGTCAGGCGCAGTGGCTGTCCTTCTTAACATTTCATAGTGATAACTATCAAATAACCAACTAGGAACATGTCATAGTCACACTAAATAATCAAAATTTGATAGTATTACCAACCAACATCCCATCAGTGATTATTGCTATTGTTATAATTGTTATTATTATTATGATTGTGTTACCGTATTAATAACAATAATTACAATATGAAATGATATTTGCCCTACCTGATGTGTACATGTACTGAATGCTCAGTACATTCCTAAATACTTGCGAAAAAAATCTTGCAAGTGATTCGGGTGGGAGTCGAACCCACGATCTCGCGGTAACTGGCCTGATGTGTTAACCACTAGACCACTGAGCTTAAGCTAGTGATGAATCCAATCCCCAAGTAGCAGTGGGTACTGCCGTGCTATTCCGATGGCATTTTCTTTTTTTTCACAACTATTTAGGAATGTACTGAGCATTCAGTACATATAACACGTCAGGTAGGAATATTAACAATGACAGCAATAATGTTGTTATTAATATGATTGTGTTATCATTGTTGTTATTATTATATTCTCTGTATTATTATAATTAGTGCCGTAACTGATTTCAAAGTAAACAAGTATGTTTCATTATTGGTGATTCATGATTAATGGTATTGTTATTAACATCAGCATCATAATGGCCAGTTTTAATATTTGTTGATGTGTAAGATGGATTAACATGTTGTTGTGTGATTCTGTGTGTTTATAAATATGTTGCTTTGTGTCTCATTTTAAAACCAGCAACATTCTCATAATAATGGCCACACCCTTGGTAGTCATACCATCCACGTGTTGAAATCCACCATCGGTGATTACACCAAAAAGAAAATAGGTGCTCATATGCCTAACTTCAAGGTAGAATACGGTTTTTCCTCTGCATTGTAGAAGTGCATGCGCAACATGTAAATTTAACTAATTTTAATCTTTATAAAGAAATATGCAAATTTCTAAATTTGCATATATTTTTATAAAAACTAATTACTTATGTATTTCTTTTTTATAATTAATTTTGCTTCTTTGGATGCCAAGGTAGAATTCAATTTTCTTTCTCTGCAATAAACATAGATTTGTTTACAGCTTTTTTTATTTGTATTATTTCGCTTTATGCATCCAAATAAAATCTTTTAACATCTTTTTTTTTTCTATCATTTTATCTTTTTTTTAGCCTTTAACCTTCTCTTGGTGTTTATTAAAGCTTTGTCCACAATATCAAAACTCAATGAGACAAATATGCATGATGATCCATATATGGGCATGATGATGTTATATTACACCCAAATATGGGCATATCACATAAAATATGATGTATGGGCAGACCTTTATATTATTTATTACAAAATTTAAAAAAATGCAGTATCATGATGCCTGACATTAGGATCTATTACATAGTTTATTAGTTTATATAATTGTTATTTGCATGTGCTGTTTGTAAATTTTAGATTAACGTTATTATTTGCATTTTATATCCTGTATTTTTTTTTGTAGCGATGCACAGCATAAGGATGCTTTACTAGAACTTGTATTCTTTAGCAATTATTTTTCCTCACGTTTATAAATTTTTGTTTGATAAGTTATGGAATTATTGATTATTGAATGAATGAATAAATAAATATTAATGAATGATAAATGCAGTAAATAATGCATGAGCAAATGCATGAATAGGGGGATGGATGGATGGATGAATGAATAAATGACTGAATACTGAAGTAAAGTAATGCATGAGCAATTGCACGCAGACGGATGAACAAATGAATGAATGAATGGATGGGCGGATGAATAAATGGACGGATGGATGGATGGTCAAATTGGATGAACTAATGTAAGATCAAAAGTATGAACAAACAGCAGACTGACGGACTGAAAAACAGATGAAAATACAAACAGAATAACGGATGAATGAATGAAGGACTTAACGAATGAATTAATGAATGAATGAATCATAATCATTTAATTAATTAATCAATTTATTAATTAATTAATTAATGCATGGATGGATGGATGAATATTGACAAGTTATTTCTCAGATAATATACATCATATTTGTTGTATGCAAAGAATAAAACAATACTTTATACTTCATTTATAATAACAACCAAGAACATTTTGGTTGCTAATAAGAGTTACCGTCCTCCAGTGGTAATGTAAACCTAGTGTGAATTGTAATTGTAGAGTTTCTCAAATCCACAAACCTTTTAGCTTATCACCTATTCTTCTCTGATGTGTATGATTTTGTATGTTGTAAACGTTGTAGAAAAGTAAATCTCTCAAGGCGAGAACGCGAAGATCCTCTTCAAAATCTTCTGATGATCAGGTAGACTAGAATTACAAATCATCATATTTTTTGTATCCGATTGATTCACATATATTGTAAAATTACATCAGATTCTCAAGTAGCATGCATCAATATATATATATATATTACTATCATAGTTAATGTAAATTATTTATAACTGATTTTTCAGTTATTCACTAAATATATATATTCTCACACACATCTTATGTTACATTTTAAATTTAATATTTTTGCTTTTCAAATTTGTGTCAAATTCATCAGTTGTAAGTACTATACTCTCAAGGGTGGGCATAAAATGAGTTGGAGGGCCAAAATGAATTTTAATAATGGCCACACCCATTACTTTGATTTTCCAGTGTGCTGCCATAAACCTTCATGGACTACTTTTATACCACTTTAGGCTTAATTGCCAAATTATTTCAAATGGACAAATCTGCATTGCGTTTTGCTCAGTTCAAATATCACTTTTTACAGATGATAGGTGTCAGGCCGTAAAAAACAAGGAGTTTTCTAGCCAAGGTGGTTGGCAGGGCGCACACATAGGATGTTTTTACAGGCTGCATGAAATTCAATGTCGGGCTGCACTTTGCCCACATGTGAACTAAGTTCCTCATGTTGATATCTCAGTGAAGATTTTTCTCTATCCTTGTGTGTTGGAGGGAGAAAGCATGTTTTCCCAATTGAGTTTTTTAGCAGATCTACCCTTATCACAGTCAACCCATTGTTTTTTGGGGTCTGCCTAATGGTCTTGCTCCGTATGCTTTTCCTTCTACTCAAGTGGAGCATCTAGGAGTCTTGCGTTGGGAGCTGATGGTGGGGGCATGAATGTGAAATGGGGACTCAATGATTAAGTGGGGGTGCTAGCTCACAAATTAAGGTGATTTTTAACTACTTGAGCATGATTTTTCAATGGGGTGGGTATGACTGAGAGGGTGCTAGTAATTTTTGCAGCCCGGCGTGTATGTGCACCCATTGGATACGCCAGTGCTTCTAATATTGGTTTAGGTTAAGTTGAGGCTGTCATTCTTTTTACTGAAGTCTGAATGTTTGTTTTATGAAAGGGATTGTCACAATAATTACGTTTGCTATTGCTGCTCCTGGCGCAGCGTGGTTGAGAATTCACGCACATAGTTTAGCCAACTTATCTATTCTGCCCTCTATAGACAGAAAAGATTGTCATTTACATGTAAAACAATATTAATTGTCAATTTTTGGTCCACATACCACATATAATGCTGGATACTCACAGCGTCTAACGGTTGTTAGCCGATGCGATCCTATGGAGAACGTAATGTCATGACACACAGGCCATGGATCATTTTTTTGATGACGATTCGCTCAGACTGCAACCGATAATCAGCAGACGGTGTTGCATTGTCTAGCGCTCACAGAGAGCGGAAGTAGAATCGTCGGCCGATGGTCAGACAACGCAGTGAGTGTCCAGCTTAAGATCAATGTGGACGCAGTTTTAAGGATACGTACCAACTTGGAGATACGTTTGTGTGCGAAAGAGAGCCAATAATTTACATGTTTTATTCAAATAGGGCGAAATTGGCGAATGTTTGATCCTTACCAGATATGGAAGGCGTTTTCTCTTTGAGAAGTTAGCACAGCTTTTTAGTGGTAATCATCAGGTAGCAATCATTGTTTGGCTTTTAAAGTTTTTATTACAGTTGCTATCGGCAATGTCCATGTCTGTTCATAAAACATAGCTTCATCAAGTTTTTAGAGTAGCTTTAATGCCTCTTTTTGTTGGTTTTGTTACTTTTCTACCAGCTTATGTCTGCCACAGGTTTATGTGAATTTTTATATAAGTTTTTAGTGATGAAACAGTTGATTTGGATTATACACTTTTCTTGTATTACTAGATTTATTAAAGATTAAAGATAAATGTGTTATACTGGTGTTTCTGGTTATTTCCATATTTGGAGTTAGTAACAACATATGTTGAGTATAATTGCACTGTAGTACATTTTGTTACTACACCCTCCGCTACAAATATTCTCCATTTAATGCTTTTTCCACACTAAGTTTTATGTGACAAATATCTAAGATTTGCCCATATAAGGGATTGGTGATGTCATCATTGCCATATGTGGTATGGTAATGTCATATCACATTCATATATGGGCAAGTCCTACAAGATATCTTGACATATAAAATTGCTTGATTTTGCATGGTAGCTATTAGATGCCAATGTTTTAAATTATGACTTTGTGTTTGAATTTACTATTCTTTCTGTCATTGTGTCAACTTATAAATATTTTTTTTTATCTCTGTTGAAATTCTACTAATATGTGTGGTTTGATTTTTGTAATTAATTACTTGAGCATTTGCATGAAATTTAAGCATGTGATTTGCACTACATTTGCATGTTATTTGCATTTTAAGATAATATTGTATTTATCATTAACATTCATGGTTTAATAATTCTTATTTTTGTTACATAATTCATTTGGTAACCATTTTAACCATTATTATTATTCTCATAATGATCAGGAGTATTGGTAAGTTGTTTTGTTAAAATGTAAAAAAAAAGTAAATCCTGGCCGACCACTAGGGCTCATAGGGGCTTGAGCTTATCCCCAGTTTCTGTAGCGTGAAGCGGATGAGAGTGTAACACTTCCGCTGGGTGGAACTCTGGTCCACCACAGGTTACTCCCAGCAATTTACTGGACACAAGCCAAATGCACAGTGAAGGATTGAAACCACCAACCTCAAGGTTGGAAAACTAAATCATTGCCATTGCGCCAAACCGCTTCCAAAGTTAAAAAATGTATTAAAAACAACTTTTGAATTGTATTGATTTTTCAGAAACTTAGTAATGAGGATTGGACCAAGAAAAATCAATGCATAGTTATTGGAACTATCCCTCTCCTTCAAAAAAAATAATGCTGTTACAATAATTGTAAATAAAATAAATAAAACAATATATATATTATATATAATAATTCAAATAAGGAAGAGTTTTAGGAACTGATTATGAGAATTTTTGATAGTGAAAATAAAACATTGATAACAAACATCTTGATTCTTTTTGTTTTTTAGAAAGGTCCTGAGTTTTTTGCACGTCTTCATTCTGCTCTTGAAGTAAGTTATGATTTTATAGTGCAAACAATATTACATTGAAAGCAACTTATATACACCTCCACTGGTGTTAATTACAGAAGATAATAAATATTTTAGAAAACGTATGCCCCCATTGGATTCGAACCCAAGACCTTCAGATTATTGTTTGTATACTCTACTAACTGAGCTATGAGGCCAAGTGGTATACACCCTTGGATTCTCCCATTAGGACATTTTTTTTTTGTATTGTATATATATATAAATATTGTGTATTGCATAATACACAATGAAATGATATTATCTTGAAATGTTAAAAATGATAAAGCAAAAAGTGTAGTGATTGCGATTAATGTACATGTTTGCTGATTGTGGAGAAACTCTAATCAAAGAGGGTGGGGTGGGGGCCCAACCTGTCTTGAAACATTTCGAATCCTCATATTAAATCGTGGTCTCCAGTTCATTTTCCTTGCTGCTCATCTTGTGTTTGAGCTGGAGGATTGAAATGCAAAATTTCAATAGCACATCAATGTTTAAGTTGTTGCCCATGTGCGCATTAAAGGACACAGTACCGGTGTACTGCCCAATTTACCACCAAAAGAACCCCACTGAAAATAAGTCTTCTTGCTTTTGTGGATTATCCTGGTGTATCTTGGACCAGAAAAAGTGAAATCCAATCCATTGTAGATTTTCATATCTATTTTTTAGATTCTCATTGAATTTTTCAATGCGGATGGAAAAGGTCTTCAGATGAAGGAGCTGATGAATGACGACTGCAAAACACTTCTCTCTTGTCTGGTAACCAACAAGTCATCCACTGAAGAACTTATAGTGTCCTATTATGGCCAGCGTGTCCAGGATCAGGTTGGTGTTAATTAAAATGGGCTTAATTTGCAAAAGAAAATCACTTTTCAGTCTCCAGTGTATAATTACAAAGAAATTGTTCAATAAATCGTATCCAAGAAGAGGAGAAAGTTGCCCTTAAATCATTATTATTAATAATTAATGGTATACAATATATGGCACATTAGGAGGAGACCTCTATGCACTTCACATTCTCATATACCCCGGTCATTGGATTAAACACCTATGGAACACAAACTCAGCTCCCCGGCGGAGTTTCCATAACGTTGCAGCAGCTAATGACCGCATTTTAACCCTACCAGGTACCCACTTACACTCCTAGGTGGAGAAAGCAATGCAGATAAAGTGCCTTGCTCAAGGAGACAAGCGAAATGCAGAGCAAGGGATTGAAACCCTGAACTTGAGGTTGGGAAACCACACATTCCCGCTGTGCCAGACCGCTTTTACAATGTAAAGTTTTGCTCGAAAAAGCAACTATACTATATAGTGTACCAAGAGTTAGAGAAAATATTCAGCCTCTCTGGCTAGAATACCCTTAGAATACCCATTCATTGTGTATTGTATTGCAGTTGAGCATGGTTAAATCACCTTACGGTACCTTAGATGTGATCTGCTATTATAATCCCATGGATTGCAAGTTATTTGTGGAAGTGACAAGAGCTTCAAATCTCAAAGCACTTGATTGTAATGGTAAGTTTAAAAACCATCTCGCAATGTTTAATGTGTGCGAAATTTCCTTGTCTTGATTGGATTTATTCGATGCTTAACATGCACAAACAATATAAAAAATGATTTGAAAACAAGAAAAGTAAAAATTAATGAGCATCAGGAACACCCATTAGGTCGGAGTCCCATTTCCAATGAGGTCCAAACTTATACATTAAAAACTTACGTATAAAATCATTAATATTAAAAATTGACATAAAAATATGATATACAAATAAAGCCAACATCTAAAATACAGATATTGAATTGTACATAATTCTAAAAAAATTCTAAAAAGGTTTTAAAAGTTATATCAAGAACAGTTAATAATGTACTGTATATATATAATTTAGAAACAGCACCCAGAATATGTAAATTTAAAAAGTGTTTAAAGGCCAAAATTGCACCCAGTGGAATGATAAAAGTAGAATAATTGCAATTAAGTACTTTTCTATTCTTTAACTTTCTATAAAACACAGTTACCTAAGGCTAGGCTTCCATTAAACTTTATCAATATTTGTGTTTTTATTTTTTGATATATTTGAAAGTTCACAGTACCTGACTCCATTAGACAAAGTGTTAACAAAGACTGTATACGGTAGTTGAGTCGGAGAGACTGCACTTCAGAACAATATTAAGCCTTAGAGTATATAAGCAAAAAAAAAATTAAAGGATAGAGCAACTTCTTCCATCTCATCTCATGAGGAAAACATATAAACTTAGTACTTTTTCTTTTACGTTGATTTTGATTTTTTCACTTCTTTCAGGTGTCAGCGATCCGTTTGTATTTATTGAACTTTGTCCTCGACACATGTTCTCTGTAGATCCACAAAAAACAAAGGTCATAAAGAAAACACTCAATCCTGTTTTTAGGCAGAGTTTTGAATTGTGAGTATTTCTATTTTTGTGTCTTTTTTATATATTTTTAGCATTCATGAATGTTGACATTTAGGACATTCTCTTTTTGTAGTAAGGGTGTTCTTTTGTACTGTGGCAGTTAGTTGGCTAATTCAGGTATAGTATCTCACTCCTAAAATTCACTGATGATTTGTGTGTTGGTTTGTTATTTCAGTGATGTAATGGCAGAACAATGTAAACAGAGGGGCGCATGTGTAATGTTCAGCGTCATGGACCATGACTTGATGTTTTCCAACGACTTGGAAGGAGAGGCGGTGATCTCATTAGAATCAATACCCGGGATCAACATGCAAGGATCCTGCTCTCAACAAGTGTCACTTCACTTAATGAAACCTGTTCAAAATGGTAGGAATTCGAGCTCCCAAACATTATGTTTGCTCAATAGATACCCACCATTTTGTTCTTAAAACCATTATGTTTTTTACACTACTATTTCTTTATTTCTTTTAACTATTTGTTATTTTCTTCTTCTAGATGAGGACCAAACCATGTTTACTGTTATGAGCAATCGCCATGGAGATAAGAGGGCAGCAGATTTTGTAAAGAAGCGATACCATGCGATTGACCAAGCAAAATCTATGTGAATAATGGCATTGCAAACTTGATTGACTGGACCATTTATCCATTGCAATAATATTCATACTTCCAGTGTAAACAATTTTACATGAATAGTCACAGTCAATCCGAGATGGTTAACATTTTGACATGCATATTGGATGAATCTGGCCTTTAAAATTTTTTTTTTTAAAGGCCAGAAGGCCAAAATATTTTGGTTTTTTTATTATCTGGTGCTGAAGAATTATTAATGGTATACTTTTTTTTATAGAGTACCACAGTCATGTTGTCACGACGCCAGGTGGCGTTCTCTGTTGTCAACATACGTAGGCTACCGTTCACACCTGAATGACTTCATAGGCTTTCTGGAAGGCATTTTAAAAATCTAATATTTTACCATCAAAATGTACAAAAAACACAAAAGCTCGCATTATATTAGTTATCGAACACACATTTAATCATCAATTAAAATTTACAAAGAAAAAGTAAGATCCAACATCTTAATTGCGTTAGAAATTGGGATCAGTGGTTTGTCAGTGGAGAAAATGACGTCTGATGGTGTTTAGTTACATACAACCTGACTGTTGCATGTCAAAATTCGGGTAGTTTAGGAAATATTTTTCTGGGGGTGGGGGGACTTGAGCAACTATTGAACTGATTTCTCATGAAAGAGTAATAATAACATTATAACAAATCAGAGAGAAGAATGTGGTACCATTTTAAAACGATAGGGTAGCATCTACAACATCACACATATATGTTTTATATTTATGCCCCTTTCACATTAAGGCCAATCAAATTTTACGTTTTGTCAAGATGCTATGGAGACGCTATCAAGATGTGTTATGTCAGCAAACCAATAGTGCAATGACATTGTTATGAATAACTACAATAGAGTTAATATGACATTGCTAAAATTGTTCACAACGTTCTACGATTTACAAAGAATTTATTACGACGTTACTACGATTTTACTAGACGCCAGCACGACATAAATACGATTTAACAAAACGCCTAGATGACAAAAATGGCGCAGTTGGTGAATATTTTAATGTTGTCGTCACCATAGTTGTTGATAATTTTACTATGTTAAAAAAATATCCAATAAGGAAGCTGCTGCTGTATGGGGGAATTGGTTGGCTGATGATTATCCAGGGTAAAGCTCAGTGTTGATGTCGAAGACAACTTATATGGGTGAAAATATGGCTCCTTTAATGTCCATTCTTTGGTCACTTTTAGTATAATTACATTGAGAAGACTTTTGTTAAAAAAATTCTGTTATGTGACAAATAAACTGTTTCATGTGTACTGTAGGTGGAGTGCATTGGAAATCATCACAGAAGAAGGATACATTTTGGTAGAAATTTACAAGACGGTATCACAACAAACCACAACAACGTTACAACACTCACATGATGCTGCTGTGGTAGACCAAGATCGTTTTCACAGCTAGAGTAGAGTAGGATTTTTTTATTGCATTCCCCAAAATTCACGCTTTTTCACGATGTCATCATAGTACGGTGCGCTACAGTGAAATACGATTGACCACTCCGCTGCGATTTTCAAAAATTGAAAAATTGTTCTCTACTAAAATTGTGGTGTGGAGCTTATTAGTTCATTTACAAATATTTACCTTCAAATTTTTAGCTAGTATGTCATCATTTAAAATAGCTCTAATAAATATCTGAGTATTTTGTTATAATTTTATAAGATAATATTTGTATAAACTGTAAAGTCATTCTAGATAATGGATTAAAAGTTAAGTTACCTATCTCAAATTATGATGCCAAGTTTAAAGGTAACAGATATTCCATAATTTTTGCTATTTTTTTTTTTTAGCTTAATAGAAATTTATATACATTGTTTATAAAATAAAAATTCAGGTCTCCCTCCAACTAAAGACGACTTTTGGGACTGGGGTTTTCATGCTGTGGTCTTTAGCAGCTTTGACGTCTAATTAGAATAAAAATAAAAGACATTTGCTAACTTGGGACCACAGAAAAGTGGTCTTTAAATGGAGGGGTGTTTCATTAGAGGGAGATCTGTAGTATGACTTATCCATCAATTTTTTATATCTTTTAAAACAAAATCGTATTTTTGAATACTGTACATTTTTTGTTATGTAAATGACAAAGTTATAATTTATTATTGAAATTATTTTTTCCATTATTATTATAACATTTTGAGAATGTTAAATATATATCTATAAAATGAAAATACTATTTTAATGTATCAGCTTTAATAATATTTAATGAATACATATTTTCAATTCATTAACAGTTAATGTATTATTAGCTTCATTTTAAATTGATTTATTTTTCATTGCAGTCAATATTTTTTATTGTGTACTGATAATAGTAATGTAATAAAAGCAAGTATAAAAAAACGGAAAGTTTCAATCATTAAAACTCTCATGATATTGAAAGCCGTATTTTTTCGGGCATCGATTAGGAGCTTAGGTCGGTAGGCTGAACTAATGGAAGCCAATGTGCGTGTGTACTGAACCGTAGAAGTCGATCTTTTGGCCTCAATTCCCATTGCTCGTTCAGTAGCGCACTTTCTTTCAGGTGAAGAGACATTTAAGCTCCCTTTTGATCCTTTGTGCTTTATGTTAAAACCAAAGTACACTTTTCTGGAAAAGAGTAGGGGATTGTCGTCTGGTGTACTGCACAAGCACCACCAGAAGGGTCCCACTTGAAGTAAGTAAAATCGTTCAAATCTAGTCGATTAAGCAAAATGTTGGAGTGTTACACCCCCTATCCCCCATTCTCTTTATTTTGACGCAAAGACAATCGGTTTCCCATTTTGAACATGCTCAGCTGGATCGTCCCCATGCCGGTCACTGTTAAATCGCCATTTTTTAGTTCTACTGCTTCTGACGAACATGAATTGAGCAAGGGAAGAGACTATTTTCTTTCTTCTTAAAAAAGGTCGTCAGGAAGAAAAAAAAAATATCCGATGAATTATAGCTTCTGTTTACCGTCGGCATGAAATGAAACACGTTCGTTTACTCGTTGTTAAGGAACACATTACTTAGCATGGAATGTTTTAACTGTGTGGGAAATCGTGGAAGAAAAAAGAACTTTTCCACGACGATACTACGTTCGCTGGGTGATGCGATGAGTATACTCTTCACTGGGGTACACAATATTTGTTGCTAAATTTTTAGATTTTTCCCCTATAAATGACTGCTACAGTTGGGGTGGAGACACGCATTCATCAGAGAAAATCGTAAAGGGAAAATAACATTTCCGCCAACGAATTTAACCATGTATTGGCCGACAAAATAAGATTGTCGAACGTCTCTCTCGGGAGGAGAAGGTGTCAAGTCTCTCCGATATAGGCCCATCCTCCGTCATTTCCCGAACTGGTGCCGCCAGTGTTACAGTATACAATATTACTGTTTTCTTTCAATGACTGGTACGTTTATCGCAAACGATTTTATATGTTGCGATTTGAAAGCCACCAAAAATATTGAGTATTAACAACAGACAAAATGAACATTTAAAGCCACACTGTAACTGTTTACTGTACTACAGTATATTTATCATTGGGACTGATAAAAATAGTCTACAATATGATTTTTCCAAGTTCTACAATTTATTATACTGTATCATAGGTTTTTTCCAAAGTATACAATTTATTATATTGTATCATAACATGAAAATAAAAGGAAGATTAATTTTACAGGAACATTTCTTATGATTCGAACCATGATCACCTACCGGTAATTTAGATGATACCAAAGATTGATAATAATTATAACAGCAGCAATAATATTTAATAAAAATAATATAATAATAATCATTTATCTACTTCCCTACTACTTGTGTATTATTAAACATTTGTTTTCATATAAGGAAATTATAAGTGCTGTTGGTTATTAATAACTGTTCGTAATTTAGTAGGCATTGTAGTGTAAAATGCTGCAGTAATGTTGGTAATACTATTTGCCTTCTAATTCGAGACCACTTTGGTACCATAAAATTTGGGGTGGTCTTGGGGTTCGGTCTGCACTCACTGTGTTAGTTTTTTGTGATTGACGATGGTTGATGATGATGATGATGGTGATGATGATAATGCATATGCATATGATGATAATAATGTAATACTAATAGCATTGGTGCTAATGATGAAGATGATGTTGGTTAATATGAGGATTATATAAAAGACGGCGTTGATTATAATAAATGAGTAATGATAATAATAATACTGTAATCATAGTATTAATAATAATAATAATAATAATAATAATAATAATAATAATAATAATAATAATAATCTATTTTAAGGTTAAACCAAACTCTTTTTTTTAACGACAAACCAATTTTAAACAATATCGTATCTTCTGCTTATAAATGATGTACACCAATATCATAATGTTAAGCCTGTCCAGACTATCAAATTTTATTTGACAAAAACCTGTGACATGCCTAAATATGGTCATGATGACATCACATCATTACCAAATATAGGCACATCATGACTATATATGGGCATACAACAGTTTTTGGTCGAAAAAAAGTGATAGTGTGGACAAAACTTTAAATGAAATACTGACATGTAAAGAATAATGAACTTATTTTACCCATGTTAAATAATAATTTGAGAAAAGAAAAAAACTAATCGTTTACATTGAAAACACTGGTCTAAGTTATTAAATCAATTAATTTAAGCCTGGTTTCAAAAGAGTCTCTAAACAGTCTCTACAGCGTTTTCACTGTAATCCTTGCGCGCTGTCCCCATGCAACCGAGACCGCTCACTGATTCAACTGACCAGTCAGCTTCGCCAAAGGAGTCGGCGAAAGCGTGTTGAGATTTTTATGGAAACACGGCTTAAGCCAAGTTGATATTGACACTAAACCACAGGTTTACAATATTTCATTTTAGTCTTTGAATGTCTTTTCTGAGTGACTGAAGCAAAAGAACAAACAAATCCACTATGTGAACGAAATAACATAATTATACTTTTTTTTTTAAATCTTAAGACGAGAAGGAAAACATTTACTAGCATCATCATCATTGTAATAACTACCAAATAATGCCGTCTTTAAGCTTATGTCTCACGTCAGCATTTTATTGACTGCATGCTGCATCAATTGCATAGTATTTTTTTACATTTTTATATATATATATATATATTTAGGCCCTATATATCCTGTAAACCTAATTTGCATTGGCCCTCCAACCAAATATATCCTATATATACGCAATTCATTCCATTATGCGATTTAATGAGAGTAGCATTCATAAATATTGATATTTTGTACCAATTCTTCTTTATATACAGTATAATGAGACAAATAGGAACTATAAAATTCTTTTTACGGTCGAGGCTTCAGTTTTAGCAAGTATTTTAGCAAGTAGTCACCTAAAAAATATTGTATGTATGTGGATTGCGTTTATAAAGATTCCGTAAAAGAAAAGTATGATTTCTTAATGTCGTCCGTGACGTCATGAACTATCGAGGATACATCAGATCCGAAACTGCTTGTAGGTGGACGTGGTCTTAATACCACACCCGAGATTTCAGTCCGGAATCGATGTTGTCCACTTTCAGTTGATGGGTGACTTCGGAATGTGTGTCTACTCTCTGTGACTGTCATTCTTTCTTGTATATCTCCAGTCACCTGTGAGTCGTCGCGCACAATTTCAGATACTTCCCCGCTGACCATTCTAGCACTCTCAGAACTCATGCCGTAAGCCATCGAGCTGCTACTGGCGTCACCTGTGCCGCTGATGAATTCACCACTCTGAAGGTCTGAAGAGCCTTGATAAATCTGTTGCACAGTGGTTGACGATCCTGCAACAAACCTCTGAACACCATCCTCTTCGTATTTAATTTCTCTATAAGTCACAGTTGGGATACCTTCAGTGCTTTTTGCAGCAGGCTGTTCTATGCTGTCATCTGCCTTAGCTGTAGTGGTCGTGGTGGTTGTTTTTTTTATATACTCTTGTCTTGGTAGTTGAGGAGATTCGCCAAGCTGCTCTTCTACTAATGCGAAGATCTCCCCACCAGTTGTTTCTCCCTCAGGTTTTTTTGTTGTTTCTGTTTTGGTTGTGGAGATAGTTGTTTCTACATACTCTTGTCTTGGTTGTTGAGGAAATTCGCTACGTCTTTTTAATACCCATGATGGAATCTCACCATCGGATGGTTTTGTGTCAGGCTCTTTTATTTTCTCCTCTGTTTTGGTTGTGGTGATACTACTTTCTATATACTCTTGTCTTGGTCGTTGAGGAGTTTCACCACGTCTTTGTAATACCCATGATGGAATTTCTTCACTAGATGGTTTTGCACCAAACTCTTCTATTTCTTCCTTTGTTTTGGTTGTGGTGATACTGCTTTCTACATACTCTTGTCTTGGTCGTTGAGGAGATTCACCACGTCTTTTCAATACCCATGATGGAATCTCATCACCAGATGGTTTTGCACCAGGCTCTTTTATTTCCTCCTTTGTTTTGGTTGTGGTAATGCTTTTTTCTATATACTCTTGTCTTGGTCGTTGAGGAGTTTCACCACGTCTTTGTAATACCCATGATGGAATCTCATCACCAGATGGTTTTGCAACAGGCTCTTCTATATCCTCCTTTGTTTTGGTTGTGGTGATGCTTGTTTCTACATACTCTTGTGTTGGTCGTTGAGGAGATTCACCATGTCTTTTCAATACCCATGATGGAATCTCATCACCAGATGGTTTTGAACCTGGCTGTTTTATTTCCTCCTTTGTTTTAGTTGTGGTGATGCTTCTTTCTACATAATCTTGTCTTGGTCGTTGAGGAGATTCGCCACGTCTTTGTAATACCCATGATGGAATCTCATCACCAGATGGTTTTGCAACAGGCTTTTCTATATCCTCCTTTGTTTTGGTTGTGGTGATACTTGTTTCTGCATACTCTTGTCTTGGTCGTTGAGGTGATTCACCACGTCTTTGTAATACCCATGATGGAATCTCACCATCGGATGGTTTTGCACCTGGCTGTTGTATTTCCTCTTCTGTTTTAGTTGTGGTGAATCTTCTTTCTACATACTCTTGTCTTGGTCGTTGAGGAGATTCGCCACGTCTTTGTAATACCCATGATGGAATCTCATCTCCATATGGCTTTGCAACAGGCTCTTCTATATCCTCCTTTGTTTTGGTTGTGGTGACACTTGTTTCTACATACTCTTGTCTTGGTCGTTGAGGAGATTCACCACGTCTTTGTAATACCCATGATGGAATCTCATCAGCAGATGGCTTTGCAACAGGCTCTACTATATCCTCCTTTGTTTTGGTTGTGGTGATACTTGTTTCTACATACTCTTGTCTTGGTCGTTGAGGCGATTCACTACGTCTTTCTAATACCCATGTTGGAATCTCACCATCGGATGGTTTTGCATCTGGCTGTTTTATTTCCTCTTCTGTTTTAGTTGTGGTGAATCTTCTTTCTACATACTCTTGTCTTGGTCGTTGAGGAGATTCGCCACGTCTTTGTAATACCCATGATGGAATCTCATCTCCATATGGCTTTGCAACAGGCTCTTCTATATCCTCCTTTGTTTTGGTTGTGGTGACACTTGTTTCTACATACTCTTGTCTTGGTCGTTGAGGCGATTCACCACGTCTTTCTAATACCCATGTTGGAATCTCACCATCGGATGGTTTTGCACCTGGCTGTTTTATTTCCTCTTCTCTTTTTGTTGTGGTGAATCTTCTTTCTACATACTCTTGTCTTGGTCGTTGAGGAGATTCGCCACGTCTTTGTAATACCCATGATGGAATATCACCACCAGATGGTTTTGCATCAGGCTCTTTTATTTCCTCCTTTGTTTTAGTTGTAGTGATACTGCTTTCTATATACTCTTGTCTTGGTCGTTGAGGAGATTCGCCACGTCTTTGTAATACCCATGATGGAATCTCATCACCAGATGGCTTTGCAACAGGCTCTTCTATATCCTCCTTTGTTTTGGTTGTGGTGATACTTGTTTCTACATACTCTGGTCTTGGTCGTTGAGGAGATTCACCACGTCTTTGTAATACCCATGATGGAATCTCACCATCGGATGGTGTTGCACCTGGCTGTTTTATTTCCTCTTCTGTTTTTGTTGTGGTGAATCTTCTTTCTACATACTCTTGTCTTGGTCGTTGAGGAGATTCGCCACGTCTTTGTAATACCCATGATGGGATATCACTGCCAGATGGTTTTGCATCAGGCTCTTTTATTTCCTCCTTTGTTTTGGTTGTGGTGATACTGCTTTCTACATACTCTTGTCTTGGTCGTTGAGGAGATTCACCACGTCTTTTTAATACCCATGGTGGAATCACATCACCAGATGGCTTTGCACCAGGCTCTTCTATTTCCTCATTTGTTTTGGTTGTGGTGATACTTGTTTCTACATACTCTTGTCTTGGTCGTTGAGGTGATTCACCACGTCTTTGTAATACCCATGATGGAATCTCATCACCAGATGGTTTTGCACCAGGCTCTTTTATTTCCTTCGTTTTGGTTGTGGTGATACTTCGTTGTACATACTCTTGTCTTGGTCGTTGCGGAGATTCACCAACCCGCTCTTCTACAAATGCAACAATCTCATCATCAGTTGTTTTGGAATCAGGTTCTGTTCTTGTGTCCCCTGTTTTGGTTGTGGATATAGTTGTTTCTACATATTCTTGTTTAGGCATTTCAAACACTAATGTTATTTCACCATAATCTGGTTTGGTTGTGGTGGTAAATCTCTCATACTCTCGTTGTGTTTGTTGACGGGGATATTCACCAAGTTGCTCTTCTACCAATGCTTTCACAGGTTGCTCCTCGTGTGTCTTGTCTGTTGTGGTTGTGGTGAAGGTAGTTTTTTCTATATACTCTGGCTGTCTTTCGCCTACCCGTGTTCTTATATCGCCTTCGAAAGTTTCTACCGTGGTCTCTTCTGTTTCGGTTGTTGTGGTGGGTCTTTCTACATACGCTTGCTGTCTACGGCTTTGGGGAGAATATCCACGGCTTTCACCTATCCACACGCCACCAGGCTTTCTTGCTACAGGCTCTCTCGGTCTTTCCTCTATTGTGGTAGCTGTGGTTGATGTTCTAATCTCACCGTCAAATGTTTTCTCAGTGGACTCTTGTATTTCTTCCACTGTTGTAGTTTTTTCTGCATAATCTTGCCGTCTTAGTCTTCTAGGAGATTCCCAAGGCTTTTGGATGACCCGTGTTCTGATATTATCATCAGATATTTCTGCAGCAGGCTCCCTTTTTCTGTCATATGTTGTGGTAGTTGTTTCTGTATACTCTTGCCTTCTAGGTTTGTGGGAAGATTCCCAACGCCTATCACCTACCCTTACCCATTTTTTATTTTCACTATCATATTTTTTCTCAGCAGGCTGTTTTATATTCTCGTCTACCGTGGTTTCGTCTGTAGTTATTTCTATATATTCTTGCCTTCTTGGTTTGGAAGGATATTTACTAACTCTTTTGCCTACCAATGGTTTTTCAGCACGCTCTCCTTCATCTGTTATGATGGTGGTTGTTCTTTGTTCATACTCTTGTTGTCTATGTTGAGGAGATTCACCAACCTGCTCTTCTACCAATGGTTGGATCTCACCATCAAAAGTTTTCACAGCAGGCAGACTTGTTCTCTCATCTGTTGTGAGTCTAGTTTCTGTATACTCGGGTTGCGTTCGTCTTCGAGGAAACTCCCAACGTCTTTCGTCTACACTTCCTCTAATCTCACCATCAGACGGTTTCATATCCAAACGTTTTTCACCTACCCATGTTTTCGAAGTAGGCTCTCTTGCTCTCTCTTCTACTGTGAATGTAGTGGTAGCTGTTTCTATTTCTTCTTGTCTATATCTATGAGGAGACTCCCTACGCTTTTGACCAACCCATGATGACGTAGTAGGCTCTCCTCTCCCATCTACCCTGAATGTAGTAGTAGCTCTTTCTAGTTCCTCTTGCTGTCTATATCTATGAGGAGACTCCCGACGCCTTCCGCCAGGCTGTCTTGTTGTTTCATCTGTTATGGTTGCGGTGGTAGTTTCTTCTATATATTCCTGTTGTCGGCGAGGAGATTCACCACGTCTTTGTAAGACCCATGTTTTTGTTGTCTCACCATCAGATGCTTTCATAGGTTCTTTTATTTTCTCTTCTGTTATGGTTTTGCTGGAAACTTCTACATACTCTTGCTGTCTAAGTCGTTGAGGGGATTTCTCGCGCTCTTCTCTTACCAATGGTCTGATCTCACCTTCATATGTCTTTTCAGCAGGTACTATTGTGGTTGTGGCTGTAGTTTCTATAAATTCTTGCTGTCTAGGTCTTTGTGGGAATTCTCGACGCCTTTCAACAGGTTTTCTTCTGTCATCAGTAGTTATTGACGTCGTACTCATCTCAACAACCTCTTGTTGCTTAGGCCTTTGAAGAGATTCTTCACGCTCTACGACTGTATATTTTTGTTTCTTTTGATCTTTTCCACAACACCTCTCTTTGAACCTTTTGAATACTGGTTTCCTTCGCTTTATTGGATATGTTTCTATTTGTCTGTATTCTTCTTCGGTTCTTACTGATCTTTTTAGTTGGTCTATGTCTGTATTTGACTGTACGATTGAGTATGTGTTTTTGTCTTCATATTTGAGAATTACTAGCTGTTCTAGAGTACCATCCCTTTCCACAATGATAACTTCTACGTAAGTTTCATTTGCAGGTAAGCTCACAGTATCCCAGGGTCCTTCTTTGCATCGTATCATGTATCTAATATCATACCTATTTTCGTCTGGATAAGGAATTATCAGTTGAATAATATCTAGGGCATTGATACTTTCATTTTCAAGGTCATCATTTTCAATACGCTTGAACTTAGGAAGTTTTTGCATATTAGTTTTATCTGTAAATTCTTCCGATGTTTCTTTTGGACGAGCATATTCAATCCTTTCTCTGGAAGTATAATATTTGTCTGGTTGGCTGAATCGTCTAGTTGAAGCGATAAAAAATGTATCCGTGTTTCTGTCATAATTGAACATAAACGGTCGGTCAACAACAGGACTTCCATCTCCATTTACGATGTAAGCTTCAAATGGTCTGTCAACCCGGATATTTTCAAATAAACTTGATTCGTCTGAATACCTTGCAAGCTGTGTCAAACCACCTCCGAAGTCTTGAATTATAAATTTGATTTTTCTGTCGTCAAATCTACTAGGAACTCGTGATTCCAAGTAGTTTTCAAGCTCGAATAGTTTCTCAACTCTCAGTTTTTCAAAAATGTCCGTTCCTTGCAGAGTAATAGTACTCATGTACCTTTTGGATTGTTTAGGTACCATATCAACACCACTGCGTTCAATTATTATGTCAGCATCCATTTCTTCACGAGATCTTGTTCCACGTATGCGTTCAGGTTCTCTTTGTAGATCTTCTGATATTATCACCTTTCTCTCATCACTCCCTTGTTGGTAGTCGCTGTCTCTTGGATAGTATTTATCAGTAACAACATCCTGTTCGATGTCAACTCTTTCACGCAATTCTCTTGGTCTGGTTTCAATTACTATGTCAGCATCCATTTCTTCACGAGATCTTGTTTCGCGTATACGTTCAGGTTCTCTTTGTTCATCTTCGGTTATTATCACCCTTCTTTCAACACTCTTTTGTTTATAGTCACTGTCTCTATAGTATTTTCCAGTAACAACATCCTGCTCGATATCAACTTTTTCACGCAATTCTGTTGGTCTGCGTTCAACAATTATGTCAGCATCCATTTCTTTCCGAGGTCTTGTTTCGCGTATACGTTCTGGTTCTCTTTGTTCATCTTCGGTTATTATCACCCTTCTTTCAACACTCTTTGTTTGATAGTCACCATCTCTATAATATTTCCCAGTAACAACATCCTGTTCGATATCAACTCTTTCACGCAATTCTTTTGGTCTGCGTTCAACTATTATGTCAGCATCCATTTCTTTTCGAGCTCTTATTTCGCTTATACGTTCCGGTTCTCTTTGTTC